GTTTATACAAGTTCGATTAATGACCAGAGAATTCGTCGGTGGGAGAATTTGAGAATTCATCTCAAAGTACAAAAGGTGAATGCAAAAGGCTTCGTGACACTCTCCGCAACAGCGTCAAACTCCGAACTAAACGCAACAAAGGCCTCTGCCAAAACGCAGGAGTTATTCGAGAGGACGGTGTTGCCTATAAATTTTGCTTCGGAGAAGGTTGTAGACTTTTTCATGTTTTAGACTACAGCAGACAAATTGGACTAACAACCAGGATACCTAGCCACTGTCTCATTAGCTACATTTGCACTGGAGGGTAAGTGAACCACATGAGACAAGCTCACAATTAACCAGACTGTCACTCGCTTTGTGCTAGAGGAACCCACCATATATGCAGCATCGTGATCAAGCTGAACCTCTTATCTCTACAGATTGGACTACATCTATCTATCTTCTAACTACCGGATTTGTCTGAACTCTGAAAGAGTTTTCTGAGTGATTTTTCTGGTTTAAAATTTTACTTTCGTTTCCTTTTTGCGTATATTATGTATCTATTTCCACCAAAATTTCAATATTTATTGCTTCTGGTAACTTGAAAATGATTGTTTTTTTTTCGCGTTCGAAACGTTGATAAACTAAAATTGTTTCCTGAAACATGCCTTTCCATCGACCAGTGTCCTTTAAAGAGTTGTTCCACTCTCTGATACTTTAAATCAATGAATTCTCTGGTCATTAACCGCACACTTATAATACACTAGACTACTCACTTAACAAATAAAAAAAATGAAGACATATGCGTTAAAAATGTAACAAAAAAATAATTGGTTATGCATTTGATGATTTACATGCTTCTGAAGAAATGTAATATCACCCAATTGCTTTAATATTCTAGGTTTTTCTAATTAATTGACCAATGATCACTGAATACTTAGAACACAGTCACGCACCACATAGTTTCGATAATGAATTTGAAAAATAATTTTCCAGCTCCAAAGTTTCGTTGATTTCCCATCAAGTTCTAAGACGTTGGCCAATCTTTTGAAGTGGCATTTCTTCGGCATGTATCGGCGCTCAACTCTAATGGTATTGATGCCACATTCCATGAAGGCCTTGACAAAGCACAATGACCCGTCATTCCTGAGCAGTAATTCCCTCCAAGTGCATTTTTTAAAATTAAATTCATTGCTAGACATTAAAGTGATGGAAATGGCCACGTCGGCAAAGGTTTTAAAACTGTTCAATAATAACTCCCCATTGTGGTGCGGAGAAGCTTATTTACCATTGCAGTACGGTGAAGCTGCTTAACAATTACAGTCCATTGCAGTACGATGAAGCTGCTTAACAATTACAGTCTTTTGCCGTACGGTGAAGCTGCTTGACAAATACAGTCCATTGCAGTACGATGAAGCTGCTTAACAATTACTCTCTATTGTCGAGGGCGCTGCATCGGCGAAACTCCATAGACTCAGATGTTCACGTATCGTATAATAATAATTTCTACCTAGGCAACGTTCCAAAATTCCCACAATCAACAGATTGAGGAATATTCCATGTCCAATTATCACTCAAAACAGAAAGAAACAGCGACGGATTTCAGTATCAATATGTTACGGTCTAATAAACGGAAAATAAAAAAATATACCGTACAATGCAACTGAGTACTGAGCGATAAATCTAAGTTCTTACTGATACGTAGCATACGTAGCTGATACCAAGTCACGAGAATGGAATTTAAAGTGAAGTGAAATAGTTTTGCATAATTTATTTTACGTTTCTATGGCAAATTTGTTGAAATAAAACAAGTAAACAGATAATTCGATTGAAGTGCGAAGGTACCTTGATTTAAAATACAGTAATATTGTCAAACTATACAAATATGTGCATTAACTAATTAAACCGGTTTGCGAATCATAAGTGCAATGAGTTTAAATGTAGAGAATGAGCACATTTTTTACAGCCCGTCAAATTTTGAACAAAATTGAGGTAACAATTTTTAGCATCGAACATCATAAAATTTCATTAACTTCACTAATAAAAATCTGCGATTGCATGAATCAGCGGCATACAACATTCAAAGCAGTTAGGAAGACTCAAGAAGAAGGAATGCAACCACGCTATAATTACCGAAATATAGTTTTCAAATTAAATGCAAGCTGATGGAATGGAAATCAATCATTTATATTTATATTTTTCACGACTTTAGTCGTATAAAAACTACACACACTGCTGCAATAAGCCACAGCTATGAGTAGATATGACTGTTGCATTAAGTTTCTACAAATTTGCAGAGTAGTTATGAAGTTGGACTTAATGAATAATAATGATTCCTTATGTAGTTGGACTCAGGAATCTTCTAATTGCTGGGATGTGACCAGCTAGGACACACTCCTAGGACCATTTTTCGCCTCGAAGATGCTTTTCTTTTTCTCCACAATTAACAATAAAAAGGTCTACTTTAATTTATTTAATGAATTAAATCTTAAAAACTCTGTGCTTATGCCTTCTGAAGTGCCACGGTGTGAGTGGCAACTCCTGGTGCTTCGTATTCTTTATAGAGTTACTGTTTATTGAATGCATAACCTATTTAGTTATAGGAGCTCTTTAATTAGAGGTTTAACATTTATTTAAAAATTTTATTGTTTAAATTCAATAGTTTGTCATTTTGCGTGTATTAGAATTATTTATGTGATTAGGAATTTTCTGGATTTCGTCCGATTTCAGAATTACAAATTCAAATGCGAGTGTAGATCATTTTTAGCGCATTTTCTCATTTATGGGAAAAAGGCGCTATTGTGCTCGCCATGTCCATCCGTCCGTCCGTCCGTCCGTCTGTCCGTCCGTGCTTTCACGTTTTCGTCGACGAGAAAATGCGCTCTCTGTCACTCACTGCAGTGAGTACTGAGTTATATTTTTTCTCTGATTAATTCTCGATGAGCCGAGCACATTTACGGATACGCTCGACTAATTAAATGCAAAAATCACTGTTGTGCAAGTGATGAAGCAATAAGGGGAATGAGCTGATGCTATTCGCCTAGCACATCATGTCTCTATAAATTATTGAATCATCTGTCTCGAAATAAACTTCTCATAATCGATGCCAGTAGTAATTAATAAATTTTGTTGGACGATCCTATTCCAATAGGATTTACTTGAAGAGGGTTGTAGCACAAACTTCCTGAAACTCGTCAATACATTAGTGATCAATCAAGAAATCAATTAAGTTAAGAATAAAGTTTTACTCGAATGTTCAGAAGGAGAAATTTTAATTTCGTTAAATTTCAGGCATGAGAATAAATTTTCTTTCATTGGCTAACATAACCTACTTGCAACAAAGTTACCAACAATTTAGAAAGCAATATTTCAAATCTAATTCAATGATACTCTGTCTCAATTGGATCCAATTCGATTTGGAAATCCCATTGTGTGTCATTCCCATGCAGATTGTCATATTCAGGTCAGGAGTCGTCGATTATCAATTGCCTAGCCGTGAACGGCCAAGCCAAGCAGCGCTAGTCTGATACTTCCATTGAACGAGCCTTCGTGCGCTATGGCATATTGTGACTCATGACATAGCAGCCTGAGCGGCATAGTCAAAATATTGACGCGTGGGTCATGAGTTCGGAGATAAACCTAAAATCACACTCCTGACTTTGATTGGAAAGTCACTTACCTCACTCTCGGTCACGTCGCCCATATCGCAGCAGAATGGCGCGAGCGGAGCCATCGAAATCAATGGAGTGTAAAACTACCGACGGCGTTCGAAAGCACGGCTGAGTCCGGCGACCGTCGACTGTCTTGCAAACTCAATTTAGCTTATGCAAATCAGGTTTAGCCAGAGCAAAATATTGTAATCTCCATCGGACAGACGTGCAGATCTAAAATATGATGGGAAATTGAAAGCCTGCCCGCTGGGAACTTATCATTTTGGCCAAATGAATAGGTCTTTTGTGAGCCCAATGGTTCCATGCAGATCGCGGCTGAACAGGCGTTTTGCCTCCGCTGGTCTTGCCGCTTGCCGGCTGCTGCAAGTTCATGTCTAGAACTAGAAAAATTCTGATTAAGTCTGAGAAGATGAGATAAGTAGGAGATTAACAAGAATTATTCAAACTTTGTTAAGTTTGGGAGTTTCGACGTCTTAAACCCGTTGCATTTATTTTGTAGAATAGACTGAGAATATCTTTTATAAAGTGTCAATCTGGAGATCATTCTACTATGATTAGTATAAAACATCTGAAAAACAAGGTATTGATGAGATCCACTATTGAATTATTGATATGATTCATTGGTCCAGTTGATTTGATGTTACAAATGGACGAATCACTAACGTACAAACATAACGTGGATAATGGGAGCGATCAAAAACTGTTATGGAATTCGAAATTGACTCTTGGAATTCGAAATTCACGCTTGAAATTCCAAATTCACGAAATTCATTGTTTCATTATTTTATTCTGAAGAAACTATTTCTTTCTTTTTTTCGGTGGAATTAATATGTATTCTTCAAGCCTAATGCTAAATAACATTCATTTAATTTCACATCGTGGTTAATCCGACTTGATCATAATAAAATAATATACGTGCACGGGCAGTATTTTTTGTCAATTCGAAGGTATACAACTTGACAATTTTCAAGTTTCTGTCGCAATCGAAATGAGTTAAAAATTGCCTTTCAGCCTAATTTCTAGCAAAATTCCTAAAATGGTTTATTTAGACACGAATAAATTAAATTTTAACATTGAATAAAATTTAATTGATTGTGAAACTTGATTTTTCAGCATCTCAGTGAATTGTAAAATTCACAAATCTCATCGTAAATTTACATTCGTATATTTTTGAAAATTTCGTGATATTATCATCGAATTGAAGCATTAAACTATGATTTTTATATGTGTACAGACCCAGACATAACTCAAGGCGACGGCAACGAATGTAATTATTTATATATATTTTTTTAATTGTCGCAATATTATCATCGAATGGAATCATTAAACTATGATTTTATTTGTGTGCAGACCCAGACATAACTCGAGGCGACGGAATTTACTCCCGCTATGCCCCGCCTCTTGACGGACCTTCACGTTACGCTCTCACCCTCTCAGTGGACGCCAGTAAAGCGGTCTTAGCTTTATCCCATAACCACCATGCCGGGTCCTCCACATCCCAATATTCTGCCTACAGAAACACGGCGTCGTCTTCGACTTTTCCCAGTGAGCCCAGTCACGAGGGCACAACCACCTACCAAAGCACTGGATCTTCGCATGATCCCTTGGAAGATTTCCACGAAAGTCAACACGAAGAGAAGGACTCGGCTCTAGCCTCCAGGGAATTATTACGAGCATCACATTTCAATCGAGATTCTCAAGAACGTCTGCAATCATTTTCATCTTCAGGACGATTGGATAGAGGGCCTGAAAACCAAGAACATATTAATTTCATACATTCAACAGATGTCCAAGGTTCTTTTGTTTCGTCTTTGCATTCTATTGAGAGTCACCTTGAAGAGTCGGTCGCTCCATTTCAAGAATCTGGGTCGCCTCAATCTTCAAGTTTCCCTGCATATCCGTCCCCAATTGGCAGATCTCACTCGAAGTCAACGAACAACATCAAACACAAAGACTTGGTCTCGAGCGAGGAACACTCAAGTGCAGGATCTAACAGATATCGCGGCCGTTCTCACGCCAAAGTGAGAAGCGAAGCCGACAAAGCCAGGCATCACAGGCGTAGGCGAGCAGGCCACGAGAAAGAGGTGAGCGTTGTCAGCTCAAATATGGTGAACATTAATTTTACAATGGGGTGAGCATCATTGTCTTCAAGGGTGAGCGTTGCCAGCTCAAATATAGTGAATAATTATTTTACAATGGGGGGAGCATTATTGTCATCAAGAGGTGAGCGTTGTCAGTTCAAATATAATGAACATTTATTTTACAATGGGGTGAGCATCATTGACATCAAGAGGTGAGCGTTGTCAGTTCAAATAAAATATGGTGAACATTTATTTCTCAATGAGGTGAGCATCATTGTTATCAAGGGTGAGCGTTGTCAACTCAAATAAGCTGACCATGCTCACCATATTCACAATATGGTGAGCATGGTCAGTTCAGCAAACGTGTCTTTTTCACACTAGGGTAAATATTAATGTCATTATGAGAAGAGAATTGTTGCCACTAAGATGTGAGCCTTATCTGCATATGCATCTAAAATAACATTTTCAGCGCACAGTTGAAAAGATTGTCTCCATAAAAATATTGGCATGATTGCCTTAGAGAATAGTCAGGTAGAAGTACGGCAAGCATCTTTTGCCTATGATATAAATAAGATGAAATGACCGTTTCCGCCGCCAGTGTGTGCTGAAATGAGAAAATTGTTTAGTCAGGAGAAATAGGGAGTTCTTTGTCATGTAATCAGTATAGCATGAAGGGGCAAAGGTCTGATCAGTACGCCTCAGGTGTATAGGGAAAAATGGTTTATTTGATTATCGGTGGAAAAATTCAAATCATCTATTCAGATCAAAAATCAGAATCATCGTAACAAAATATTCCAAATGAAAACTGGAGCATTGACAGGTGTAGGCTGGAGGAAAGTAGACGATACAAATTAATCAAATTCACATTTAAACTTTTTACGTAAATAACTCTAATTGTTGACAAAAAGCAATCAATTCTCAAGAAAAATTTTTTGTTGGTTTAATTAAAGGATACCTTTTTAATGAGACTTGCAACCTATTCCTGTCAAAAAACACTCAAATAACAGAAAACAAGCAAGCAATCTTATGGTGAAGAACATGTTGCGTTGCAGCGAAGATGCATTGTCGTGCTAGTCCCCGTTATAGGCCTTTACTGCAGCGCTCATTGTTTCTCTGTAGGTCTATAGGCTCGTTATTTCTAAGAAAAATGGCAGGGGCTTACGGCATCAGTTTATGGCAGATGGAAAGCGACCAGGATACGGTTACAGTCTCAGATGCACAGAGCACTTGGAGACGCTGGAGTTTGCAGCAAAGCTCAGTAAACCGACAAAGCTTTGCTTCTTATAAGCGAGCATTTTCTAAGAGATAGTTTTTCAGAAACCTTTTTTAGAACAATGACATCAGATTTAAATAATGTCACAGTGATGTTCATTAAATTATTGCTAGCATGTTCCTAATTTGTAAATAAGATTGACCAGGTATACCGAAAGAGAAATTATAATATGTATGCATGCTACTCATGGTAAGTGCTTGCGGTATTTTGATCTGTCAATTTCGCTTTGCCTATAATTGATAGTTGGAAAATGGGACGAAATGCAGCGTTGAAACATTCATAAATTTTACTCCAGATTTCACTGGAAAATGCAAGGGAATTTGGTTAAAGTAATTAGAAATTAGGTCTTTACTACATAGTAATTAAATCTTAAGAATGTTATGATGATATTGAAAATTCGTTGTAGCATTCAAGTTTGAATCTCTGTGAAACCAGTAATACGTTTTTGTATTGTTGTATTTGTACATCTAGCGGATGCAATATTTTAAAACACAAAACAAAGATGCATTTAGATTTAATATTTTTATAAATTATACAGACGAATATTGTTCCGCTTAAAGGATTTGCATGCCACTTGTTTGCCTCACTCAGAAGTTATAACTGTTGATACACTCTTACCTAGGAGCCGTACGCATCAGAGTCATCTGTTGATACACTCTTACTTATAGGAGCCGTAAGCAGCAGAGTCAACTGTTGATACACTCTTGCTCAGGAGCCGTACGCATCAGAGTCAACTGTTTGATACACTCTTACTGCTGTCTCTTATACACATCTAGATGTGTATAAGAGACAGGTCAATGATAGAGTGTCAATAGTAGAGAGTCAATGATAGAGTGTCAATGATAGAGTGTCAGTGATAGAGTATCAATGATAGAGTGTCAATGATAGAGTGTCATTGATAGAGTGTCAATGATAGTGCCAATGATAGAGTGATATTTTCCCATCGATGTAGTAGTGTCCCTACATGAATATCCCCTCTGTATGTTGGTAATTTTCAACCACTTTTCCAGAATCTATTCAATTCATATTCGATGGTTAGGCCCTTTGAGGCTTATTTATTTGGAGTCTGGGGCGCATTTACCGCGGAATCTTGATCTTGCTGACCCTCTATCGCTAAACTCTCGGCCTGAGCCGTGTTTCAAGATGGCCGTTCTAATTTGTCTAAGTGGTCGGCAAAGAGCTCGACTAGAAGATTGAGAGCATCATACGGTTTTGTCAAGCCATTCACAGTCTAATGATGCTCGAAGTGTGCCACTCGAGGGCCTCAGATGATTCCAATGATCGAGAAGTTTACCTTTCTCCCGATTATCGGCGTATTCCGTATTGGAAGGTTTCTCAACGTTGCTCAAAATTGGGTAGTGCCCGCAGAGGTGAAATAGGCTGTATGTAAGGAAAAATTTCACAATATGTGAGAAAATTAATATTGAGTAAGACATCGGCAGAGTCGAATGTATGTAACTATTTCATTTTAACCACAAGAAACCCCCTTTCTATAGACTTTTCAAAAATTTATAATTATTGATTTTAAAGGTTACTAGTACAGTCATTTATCTGTAGAAATAATCTGTGTAATCTGTATAAATATCAAATTCCTTCAACGATGATTTATCCTCTCAGGATCCGGTTTCTCAAGCGGTCTCGGCAGTGGGGGCGACGGAGGTGGAGAGCGGGTTGCTGTCATCGCAGGTAGTGTGGGTGGAGTGTTGCTGGTCCTGCTACTGCTGGTCAGCTATTGCTACTGCTTCCCTGCCGGCATTGCAAAGCGAAACACAACTCGAAGACAGTACGGCAATGATCTTGGAGATGAAAACCACAAAAATGGAGGAAACGGTCAAAGGCCTTTGGTAAATGGCGGGTCTCTACTGGTGACTTCAGCGTCAAGAGGCTCCGTATTGCTTAACATGGCCGAGGAAGTGTGCCGTAATGACGGCTCGCCTTCACGTTTGAGGGAGGCAAATTCTGGACGAGGCCACGCAAACATCATAGCAGACGATGTGAATTCCCCTGAGGGAAATGAAGAATTTCCGCGAGCCCTTGAACCTCAGTTACGTAATGCCAATGCTGAAGATTCTGACACGCAGCGAACGCTTTCAATGTCCATCCCGGACGTGACTCGCGTTGAACCGCAAGTGGGCACTTCAGTTGCTCCCGACCCCTCGCAGCCGCAATTTTTCACCCTTGGTCGCAATGCGGCGCGTAATCACAGCAACTCGTCTTCGACGAGCTCCCGGCACTCCTTCCACGATCGATCGACGCCGAGTGGTGGAGCAAATCAACTCGATCTCCAGGATATACAGCAGCGAACTGGTGGGGTTATAAACCGATACAACAACTCCACTCAGAATCATTTCCAGCAAATGCAGGGTCAGCCACTCGATCAACAGAAATATCACAAGCCACAACCAATGCAGTCTCCGTACGACCCTCGCCGAGGGAGCGGAGGCAGCAACCCATACGCGGCGTTAGGTAACTCCTACCGCACGCCCCATGAAGACAGCGACGCCGGAAGTCTCTGCAGAGAAGGCGGCTCCATAGGCGGTGACAGCTTCAATGAAAGTCTTTTGTGTGACGACCGCAATCATTCGCCTCCGCCACCGGCTCCTTCGGGACCTCCAGTGGACTCGACTGGAGCGCGAACGTCTCCGTATACTCCGCTGAACCGCAGGAGTCTGGCGATGTTATAAGCTTCAGTCAAAATGCTTAGAATTAATTTCATCATTCACGAAGCTTCATCAAAACAGCCATGAAATTTCACTCAATTGAACAGCAAAAGATGCGTCATGCCCTGAAGCAAGTTGTGAACATATTGTTAGGAGTTCTAAGTTACTGTCTGACTGTATATAAAATGATCACTTTATCAATAGCTAGAAAAACAACAGTAGCTGAAAGTGGCATAAAATGTGTATGTTGTACAGTGTATCTTAATTAGGTGTTAATAATATTTTGTCTTTCTTGTTGTAACGTAACTGGGATCTCTCCACAAAAGACATCACCAATAATTGTTTAGGAACACAAGACGACGAGTAGAGTTGATTTGAACTTAATCTAAAGTTTACAAATTTATCAACAAGTTTGTCTCCTCGCAGATTGCTGCATCTGCATTAGAAATCAACTAGAATTTCAAGTTAAGTTGCTTCTTATTGCAAAAGTTGATGCTTAAAATCCAGAACTTATAGGGGAACGGAATTTTTATCCAGAGTTATGGCTGTTTCAATCCAACTTGAGTCTGCGAGAAAGTAGGTTGAATAATGTTAATCATTCTCTATGTAAACTTAATGCAGTGCAATAAATTGTGTATTGTTTGGGATGTTTGTTTAAAAACTATTTTGAGTGTGAGGTTTTGAAGCTTCTTTACTAACTCTGTTCTTATATTCTGCGAAAAAAAATTGGTTCCTGGCCATGAGTTTATTAAAAATACTTGGAACAAAATATGATATCAAAACCGTGACTTTCATCAACTTTCATCTGTTTCAACTTTTGAGATAAATAAATTCATGTTCGCTCGAAGTCGTTTAGTGGTGGCCTAGCTGCATTACTGGTCGCCCATGAGTATCTAATAAATTCATTGCTTTATTTGATGTCAAAATTTGATTTTTGTTGGCAATTGATTGAAGCGTATTCAGAAATACAATGTTTTAAGTATATGGCCGTTCAAGAATTGTTACCAAAAGTTTATCATCAGATTACGAGTGATGTTAAACACGATCTTTCTCAACATCAACATTCGCTGAAATCGCTGGCATAACATTCATCTATCATTACGAATTATTAGTTCTATGGTGCTGTGATTGCAGTTCTCATTTGAGCAATCCGAACTCGTTTATTTTGTAACATATTTTATAGAGAGAAAATTTCGGGCTACAGTAGGTGTACAATATAAATTTCTAGGTAAATTTAGGGTAGCGACAACTTTCGTCGGCAGGATCCTGACCTGATATTGACGCATGTTTTACCATGAAAACTCATTGTCCTTCAGTCGTGTTCTAGATGATGCGCTATCATTCCACTCTAGGCAATGCTGTAGTATCTATCATTCACTCTACATGAAGTTGCACAATTCATTCTTTCTAGATGATGCAACTCGATCATTCCATTTTAGATGATACCGCAGCATCATACCTCTCTAGATGATGTCATGCTGTCATTCTTCTCTAGACTCGCCATAATTCCTCGTATAGAAGAACGTGTTCTCATTGCTGCAAAGCAATGATCGTTGCAAAGAGTGCTTGACAATCACTAACGTTTGAAGCATATCCTATAGAACATCCTGCTTCCGAGTGAAGTGAAAAGGACTGTCTATATCGTTGTACATAAATAATAATCCACGACGTAACATTAAGTTTCAACATTTGTTCTTCCAGTGCACGTGCGTTCTTTGACATTGGGTGCAGTGGCGATGAGGTGGTTGTATGTGTAGTGTAAAATATGCCACATGTAAACAATTAAGCATATCAATGCGAAGCCGATTAAACATATCCATATGAAATCGATTGAACATATCCATTGAATCTCTGCATGATTAATACATATGGTTTCGGGAATCCTTTGGAGAATTTAGCTTCTCATGTGAAATTCATGCCATCATTTGCATTTTGCTTTGGTGAATATTGCAACAAAAAATTAAAATTCAATTTGATAAATTATTATTTCGCGTTAATAGTAAAATTATCGTTACAAATGTATTTTTACGAATGCAATCCCGATCAAATTTTGTTACTCTTCGGGAGCGAATCAGAGCAACTATGACAGTGAACAATGATGATTACCCGATTGGTTATGGGTGAGTTATAGTTAAGTACACAAACTAACGTGTCAGTTCTTGGAGATATGAATGTTAATTTTACGTCGAATTACCGCGAAATCATTGGGTACGATATAATGAATCTCCCACTACCCCGTCCCCAGAGTGTAATGGACAAAGTAAGGCACTGAAGGTTCCTCTCACTCTTTAGATTGTTGCAGGTAATCGATGATGAGAACAGCCAGGAGTGAGTGTCATATCAATTAAAGGGCTCAGGAAATTACGGAACTTCGACCGCTAGTCCTAATTTATGTTCGTTTTCAGATTTCGCTGAATATGACTCGCGTCAGCTAAATGACGTTCTGCTTGACATGCCTTGCGACCTAACGAAGTTATATAAACTTTTGTTGTTATTCATTGATTGATAACGCGTGTTATGTTGTTACATGGACATAAAAAATTTCTTCAATGTTATTCAGCAAAGTCAATCTTGACAAATCCCGTAAATATTTTCCGCAAGTTGACTAGGTCGATATTTACTTTCAAAATAAATCTAATTTTTCAGTCTATGGTTGCACTCTAATTTTTCAGTACACTTATCCTAAATTTGTAATTTATACTTTTATATACATTTGCTCATGTTCTTAAATGCCAGTAAGTAGCTTGAGTTCCATATTAGGTTGGCATAAATTAATTAGCACCTTAAGTGGGTATTTAAACATTCTTAAATGATTTTGCTTTGCACGCAATTTCCTGCACGTAAATGTCCCGCCAAATCAGATACTAAACTTGAAGGCATTACATTTCACCAAATCAGAAAAAGATCTGTCGGGTAGCCAATTTATTATAAATAAGAAACACGCTAATGGCTATGGCCTTTAAATTCAGTGAACCGCAATGTATAGCAGCAGGCGAGTAAAACAGCGACTATTCCATTACATGAGCGACTAGCGGGTTTGCTTAGTGAATTAACCTGTGTTTAATCTGTGTTTAAGAAGCTTTAAACTTAACCCTCTTCGTAATAACTCATAAAACCTCGAACTTTGATAAGGATCAAAATAAGTGTATCGTACGAGTGCAAAATCGCAAATCGGCAAAGTGATCTAAAAGCATGAAAAATCTTTCGAGCGAAGGGATATTTTCGTATAGAAATATTTATTTTCTTGTGTTGCGTCGTTCACCAAATCGAGTCTTCACTCAAGTCTTGCTCATTGCAATTAATTTTCAATGGTACAAAAGCTTGAACAATAATTCTGATGCTGCGAATATATTACGATAAAAAAAGGTATGATTACGACGATGTTATCCATAAATTTGTTCATGTCAGAAAAATCTATTTATCGTAACTGATTAATTCCAATTCAGTAGTGTTTATTTTCAATCGTTACCTCCAATAGGAAATTATCAAAATAGACAATTTGAGTCATGTAGCTTATTGCGTGCGACATTGGAATGAAGATAAAACAATGATGGCACATAACGTGACCTGAGCCGAAAAATTGGTTGTAATCATTTCCGTTCCTTTTATGTTTAATATGATAAAAATTGCATTGGTTCGGGTGATAAATAACGTTTAACGTTCAGAACAAAGAACAATTCATGTCATATAACGTTAGAATTTCACCGAAAACGTAAAATTAGACGTTATCTGTGAAACACACGAAAAGTGTTTTAGGTCGGATGTAAAGATGCTGGTTGCCCCACCTAAATTTTCTGACTGAATTCCTACATGAATCACCCAGTTGTAAAGAAAATTTTCAAAAATTTACACGTGGGATCAATTTGGCAATTACTTTTTCTCACAGAAAAATAAATTCTTATCAACTTCCCACAAAAAATAATTATAATAATAATAAAATCGGAATTGAGCTTACTACTATGGAAAGATTATCGCCGGAACGTTTCCAAAATTTTCCACAAGTATACCATTACACACATCAATAATAGATGTTAAACACAAGATGAGTATTACTACTGAAATTTAACGGAAACAGCTGGTTTCCCTAAATTTAAACAAATTTTTATTTCGTATTCCAGCAACGCGAAGCAAACGAAACTGTAGTGATTGAGGGAGCGTTTATTCTGAATTATTCATATATCAGAAATTCATATAATAGAATTCATAGAATTCATATTTTCCTCTCGCGATAACAACAAAAATTTAAAACTTTTTGATAACAGACATTCATCTAAATCGACGTTTCTCAATAACTACTTGGACTTTTGTGAAGTCTAATTGAGGATAAACTATGTTAAATATTACGCTAAATGTTCGCTCATTTGTATACTTTTAATGTAGAAGAAGAACCACTATTATTATTCTATTACTTACCTGAAATTAATGTAGCGTGTATACTTCCTCATACGGCACACGTACGGAAAAATCATGAATAAATGTATTGGTATTGATGATGTATTATTTATTCCAACAATTTATTCCAACTGTTATTAACATATAAGAACTCGTAGGCAATGGAGTAACAACATAATATATTGTTATAGGTTATTTTAATATTATTTCATACCCAATTTTTATTTCAATTCGATTTAACGGTTGTGTAAGGATTCTCCAATAATGTTACTTGCCAAAAACATTTATAGCTGATTCTGTAAGTTCGGATCCGCTACAATTTAAGAACTTAGAACGGGGATTATAATAAGAATTTGCCATGGATAATGTTCAAAGTGTATTTTATGAAATATGAAGGTCGCACCCCAAACATTGGCGAACCAGGCAGTTGTGATACTACGGATAACTGAATCGACAAAGAAACAAATGTCAATCTGTAAGTAGCTCGGATGGTTTGCAAAAGGATAGATATTCTAGAAAATTAATGAAACTGATAACAAATTGTACACATTACTACAATAACTTTTATACAGAAAGCTCATATGTCAGTGAAACCGCGGGGTCGCCTGCCGGAGACCACCACTGCCCTGGATGTAATGGACGATCATGATTCCTGCCTTCCGGAACGTAGCCTTCAACACTTCAAGCCGTCCGTATCTAGGCCGTGGGTAGAACCAGCCCTCGGTCGAACGGCCACTTGTCGAAGGACGATAAATTTTGTAACAGAACTATGCTATCTGAAACTTAACCTCAGATGTGGTGAACGTAAAATTACGTAATTTCACGATGCCCGCAAGTCGTATTCGATCAGCGACCTGGTGATGCACGGCAGGTGGTGGTCAAGGCCGGAAGAGGACAAAGGCTAGTGGTGCACGGCTGATTGGTGTAGGTCCGGTGAGATCCAAGGCGTTCGATTCAGGGCTTTTGGTGCACAAAATTGGTGGTGCACGGCTGCGCTCCCAAACCGCGGAATGCTGCCGGGATGGCTTTCTCTAAAATTCGAATTCCTGAAGGAAATTTTTGAACTAATTAAATGTTTGTTCATAAATAAACAAATGTTTGTTTATAAATAAAAGAAGATGATTTTTTTAAGACCGGTAAACCTTAAATGTTATTCAGGAAATAGTGCCAAGTCATACAGTGCGTTAAGCGCGGTATCACGCGCCGTCGCAATAACCGTGGAAGTTTTTAATGGTTTATCGTGGGTCAGGAAGTAATATGAAGCACTGCCAATATAAAGGGAAAGGTAATAAATCGTGGCAGAGAGAAGACGGTGTTACGCTCATGTCCGGACAACGTTGATTTACTGCTGACGCAATCACTTATAACAATCTTCTGTGCCATCAGCTCGAGCCCTGACCATCGCAGTGATTTATTGAAAGTCTATGGAAAATAATCCCCTTTCTTTGGCACACCGAGTGAAGCCCGTTATAGTGGACCGGGCTGTTCTATGAAACAAAAGTGAAATCGACCATCAGCAATTTACATCATTCAATAAATGAAAATTTAAAATTAGGAATACTTTATTCCTTTATTAAATCATACGCAAACTAGACTACGCGGAGAAAATAGAAATTGAAAGGGCGGCAGGAAATTCTAGAGATCAAATCGGGAAGTATAGTTGCTGATGACTTCACAATATATCGAGAAGTGTGAAAATAATCTTCAAGGGCAGCCGCTAAACATATCTATTGTTCTAGCCTTAAGTATAGTGAGCAAAGCTTTCCGATATGACCAAATTAATATAAGTAAAATTAGATGAAATACTAAGACTATAATATTTCAAGAGAGTGCGCACCTATTAATATTCAAAATACATTCTTATTTCTACTATCACGCTGAAAATGTAAGCGCGCATTAAACTGAAGACGTACCCGTACCTGTAAGCGTTGTACAATAGTATTGTTACGTTGTAGTATGGTTAAATTCACTTTCTGACATTGGTGCAAAATGATCAAGGAATAATAAGAAATTCAACGTTTGAATTTCATTTCTTTCGTTTTAATATTCATTCTGAAAAATATTTCTTACAAAAATACTTTTGGCAGGAACAGTATTACTAACACCTCAAATTTCCAGACGCAGTCCATTCACCGAAAAATAATTTATTTGCGTCTTTCATCTTCAATTTGAGGCTAGCGTCTTACCAGCGATAATTAAATATCAACCCCGCAGTAGAATGCTAAGCACAGACACAGATTAATACATAATACTAAGCATTTCAGTATATAAGATACAAAGAGGGACTGATGGTTAACTAAGCATTTCAGTATATAAGTCAAGGAGGGACGGATGGTTAACTAAGCATTTCAGTTTATAAGATACAAAGAGGGACGGATGGTTAAATAAGCATTTCAGTATATAAGACAAAGAGGGACGGATGGTTAACTCAGCATTTCAGTATATAAGATACAAAGAGGGACGGATGGTTAACTTCTAAGCATTTCAGTATATAAGATACAAAGAGGGACGGATGATTAACTGAGCATTTCAGTATATAAGATACAAAGATGGACGGATGGTTAACTAAGCATTTCAGTATATAAGATACATAAAAGGACGGACGATTGTAAGACGAGTCCTGCAGACTGTGATACCGCACACTAAATTACTTTAAGTCGTCACGCCACTGCGATAAGGCGCCTCATTACGACCTTCACTCTTCTTAATTGCTCAAAAATTAGCCGTGACGCCGACGATTAAAGGTTACGCGCGTGTTCCCTCCATTACGGCCAAAGCTGTGCTATAATTTGCGATAGGCGTTGTATTAAACCTTTATTCTCGATCTTCATGATGTATTATACCAGATGTCTTTGATATTTTGTATTTCAAAGTTTGCCAGCAACTTCATTTACCTTGATGTCTCCAGAGATACTACTGACAACTTAATTATAAATAGTTTTTTTTTTGCTTTAACCATGCACATAACAATTGTTCTGCCAGCCTTAAGATTTACTTATGGTATGCATAAATATACTTGCAGCATTCAGGTTAAGCCTATGAATGTAAGGTATGGCTCATAAATATCAGTATGCAAATTTTGTGGCTGATGGCAAACTCAGGTACGCCAAACCGCGCGCCCGATCTGCGTAACAAAACGCAGAACGAAACTATAATTTTCATGTCCAGATCTTATTTTTATGGATAATTGAACATATTTTAATGCCACTAGAAAAAAGAAACGAAGATGAACACAATAGTTATAGACATATATTCTAAAATGTATTCAACCACTGAAATACTAGTAATGAATAGCAAAATTTACTCATTTTGCTATTCATTATTCATTTTTGGCACATTAACTAACTGTCGACATTATAGCAGAGCCAAGCAGTTTCAGATGCAGTTCTTCTAATGAAAATTTTGATTATAGAAATTACCCAATTCAAGTCAGGATTTTGGGTTTAATTGAGTATAAAAATAAGGAGTATAGCCACCTCATTGAGTAACAATTAAGGCATTGGGAAGGAGAGGGCGATACCCTTTTCATTATTTATTGCGAATAAAATTAGAAAAAAAACATTTAACGAAGCATGACAGCACACAATAAACTAGGAGAACAAAGTTTGAAGTGTCCTTAGTGGGATATCAAAGCATTTACCACCAAAACTTTGCCAACACTGCCGACCTGCATGCAAACTGCAGTGTCTCGAAAGAGAATTAAAATACCTCAGTCCTACAACCTTCTTATGCCACGGTATTTTATTTCTCATGAATCTAATTTTTGTCAAACCTGTCTGTTTTCATTATTTACTTTCATTGATGTTCCATGTACGACATTCAAGTTCTCGAAGTCGCCTGGGATATGTTGTGATGCACTACCTAAAGAGAATAATGAACTTCCAAGTTCCAGGTGGAAAATATTCAGGTAAATATTTCGTAGCAGTACACAGTAGGAGAACAAACATAAATTCTGAGGAGGGAAATAATTCCTGCGTCTTCAGCTGCTTTCGAAAAATTGGATTTCGAGCCAGAGATAGTAACATCAAGAAACTTCATGCAAATAACAGATGACATTAAAAGATCGAAATTTTGCGGTGCTGTACAACGGAATATTTAGGAATCAGAGGTCTTCGATACTGACGATCATTTATGACCAGAGTTCAGAGTGTCACAGCCAATATTGAATTACAGAGTTTAGAACATCACTAGACAAACATTGAATTACATGAATTGCCTAGCTTAGAACGTGATTACCTATATTGCTATACGGAGCTTAGAGCGTCGCTAGCGCTAAAAGATATGTATAAGCGCTATACTGATTGCTACACATCTGTTAACCAATTATTGTTCAACCATTAACCCATAATCGACTACAACTGCAAATTACAATAACTCAATAAAGCTGAAAATTGAAAAGTACTTTCTATTACAGGGGTAAAATAACATAACATTACAAAGCCCTAAATTAGAAGATTTAATTACACTGCAATTGTGAATTGCAAGACTTTATTCTAAACAATGCAGCTGATACCTGAAAGATCGAATTCCACTGCAGTTACAAATTACCAGACTAAATCCCAGTGCTGTTGTTTCCATAAGCACTTCCCACAGCTGCTGTGAACTTCATAGGTGCATCATATTGCAGCTAGGAGTCATCAAAGTGCATCATTCTACAGTAACTGAGAACATTGGAAGCTTTTTTCCCTGCAGCTTCAAATTAAAGCAGCGCATTCCACTGTCAGCTGTGAGGTGTAAGAGCGAGGCGGGGATAAAATGCCTTCAAACACTTAGCTGTTTGTACAACTCTTGAATGGCGTCGCACTTGAGTAGCGCGTGCTCAAGAGTGCCATCCAAGATTGCAATCATTATCAAATTGAATACTTCACTATAGAAACGGCAAATAAGGCAATTCATATAATGAAATCAGGAAGCAAGACATTATGATCTTTCGGAGAGACACGAGATGTGATGCTTGCCGGTAATGAAGTGGCAGCTAACAGTGAATAAAAGTAAAGCATATACGTAGAAAAGTTCAATTGAGTTACAAAAAGATGTACATTAGTGGAAACAGCTCTGGAAATAACTCTCAAACATTACAGAAGCA